GTAACTAGATACAGAAAGTGCTTTCATTTCTAAACGGTAAAACAGATACAGTGGGGAAAAAAAGTATTTAGTCAGCCACCAATTGTGCAAGTTCTCCCACTTAAAAAGAAGAGAGAGGCCTGTAATTTTCATCATAGGTACACGTCAACTATGACAGACAAATTGAGATTTTTTTTCTCCAGAAAATCACATTGTAGGATTTTTAATGAATTTATTAGCAAATTATGGTGGAAAATAAGTATTTGGTCACCTACAAACAAGCAAGATTTCTGGCTCTCACAGACCTGTAACTTCTTCTTTGAGGCTCCTCTGTCCTCCACTCGTTACCTGTATTAATGGCACCTGTTTGAACTTATCATCAGTATAAAAGACACCTGTCCACAACTTCAAACAGTCACACTCCAAACTCCACTATGGCCAAGACCAAAGATCTGTCAAAGGACACCAGAAACAAAATTGTAGTCCTGCACCAGGCTGGGAAGACTGAATCTGCAATTGGTAAGCAGCTTGGTTTGAAGAAATCAACTGTGGGAGCAATTATTAGGAAATGGAAGACATACAAGACCACTGATAATCTCCCTCGATCTGGAGCTCCACGCAAGATCTCACCCCGTGGGGTCAAAATGATCACAAGAACGGTGAGCAAAAATCCCAGAACCACACGGGGGGGACCTAGTGAATGACCTGCAGAGAGCTGGGACCAAAGTAACAAAGCCTACCATCAGTAACACACAACGCCGCCAGGGACTCAAATCCTGCAGTGCCAGAAGTGTCCCCCTGCTTAAGCCAGTACATGTCCAGGCCCGTCTGAAGTTTGCTAGAGTGCATTTGGATGATCCAGAAGAGGATTGGGAGAATGTCATATGGTCAGATGAAACCAAAATATAACTTTTTGGTGAAAACACAACTCGTTGTGTTTGGAGGACAAAGAATGCTGAGTTGCATCCAAAGAACACCATACCTACTGTGAAGCATGGGGGTGGAAACATCATGCTTTGGGGCTGTTTTTCTGCAAAGGGACCAGGACGACTGATCCGTGTAAAGGAAAGAATGAATGGGGCCATGTATCGTGAGATTTTGAGTGAAAACCTGCTTCCATCAGCAAGGGCATTGAAGATGAAACGTGGCTGGGTCTTTCAGCATGACAATGATCCCAAACACACCGCCCGGGCAACAAAGGAGTGGCTTCGTAAGAAGCATTTCAAGGTCCTGGAGTGGCCTAGCCAATCTCCAGATCTCATCCCCATAGAAAATCTTTGGAGGGAGTTGAAAGTCCGTGTTGCCCAGCGACAGCCCCAAAACATCACTGCTCTAGAGGAGATCTGCATGGAGGAATGGGCCAAAATACCAGCAACAGTGTGTGAAAACCTTGTGAAGACTTACAGAAAACGTTTGACCAGTGTCATTGCCAACAAAGGGTATATAACAAAGTATTGAGAAACTTTTGTTATTGACCAAATAATTATTTTACACCATAATTTGCAAATAAATTCATAAAAAAATCCTAGAATGTGATTTTCTGGATTTATTTTTCTAAATTTGTCTGTCATTGTTGACTTGTACCTATGATGAAAATTACAGGCCTCTCTCATCTTTTTAAGTGGGAGAACTTGCACAATTGGTGGCTGACTAAATACTTTTTTCCCCCACTGTATATATGAAAATACCCTAAAATAAAAGGTGACATTCTGTACTGTCAATAAAACATTTGATCTCAAATCCAAAATGAAAAAGTTTTAGCTTCACTGTCCAAATTAATACGTAGGGGAGTGTATATTCTTTTAGCTGATTTTGAGTATTTTGTGTATCCAACTACAGTTGAAGTCGGAAGTTTACATACGCTTAGGTTGGAGTCATTAAAACTTGTTTTTCAACCACTCCACAAATTTCTTGTTAACAAAATATAGTTTTGGCAAGTCGGTTAGGACATCTACTTTGTGCATGACACAAGTAATTTTTCCAACAATTGTTTACAGACAGATTATTTCACTTATAATTCACTGTATCACAATTCCAGTTGGTCAGAAATTTACATACACTAAGTTGACTGTGCCTTTAAACAGCTTGGAAAATTCCAGAAAGTGATGTCATGGCTTTAGACGCTTCTGATAGGCTAATTGACATAATTTGAGTCAATTGGAGGTGTACCTGTGGATGTATTTCAAGGCTTACATTCAGCCTCTTTGCTTGACATCATGGGAGAAATCAGCCAAGACCTCAGAAAAATAATTGTAGACCTTCACAAGTTTGGTTCATCCTTGGGAGCAATTTCCAAACGCCTGAAGGTACCACGTTCATCTGTACAAACAATAGTACGCAAGTATAAACACCATGGGACCACGAAGCCGTCATACCACTCAGGAAGGAGACGCGTTCGGTCTCCTAGAGATGAACATACTTTGGTGCGAAAAGAGCAAATCAATCCCAGAACAACAGCAAAGGACCCTGTGAAGATGCTGGAGGAAACAGGTACAAAAGTATCTATATCCATAGTAAAACGAGTTCCTACATCGACATAACCTGAATGGCCGCTCAGCAAGGAAGATACCACTGCTCCAAAACCGGCATAAAAAAAGCCAGACTACGGTTTGCAACTGCACATGGGGACAAAGATCGTACTTTTTGGAGAAATGTTCTCTGGTCTGATTAAACAAAAATAGAACTGTTTGGCCATAATGACCATCGTTATGTTTGGAGGAAAAAGGGGGTGCCTTGCAAGCCGAAGAACACCATCCCAACCGTGAAGCACGGGGGTGGCAGCATCATGCTGTGGGGGTGCTTTGCTGCAGGAGAGACTGGTGCACTTCACAAAATAGATGGCATCATGAGGAAGGAAAATTATGTGGATATATTGAAGCAACATCTCAAGACATCAGTCAGGAAGTTAAAACTTGGTCGCAAATGGGTCTTCCAAATGGACAATGACCCCAAGCATACTTCCCAAGTTGCAGCAAAATGGCTTAAGGACAACAAAGTCAAGGTATTGGAGATGCCATCTCAAAGCCCTGACCTCAGTCCTATAGAACATTTGTGGGCAGAACTGAAAAGGCGTGTGCGAGCAAGGAGGCCTACAAACCTGACTCAGTTACACCAGCTCTGTCAGGAGGAATGGGCCAAAATTCACCCAACTTATTGTGGGAAGCTTGTGGAAGGCTACCCGAAACGTTTGACCCAAGTTAAACAATTTAAAGGCAATGCTACCAAATACTAATTGAGTGTACATAAACTTCTGACCCACTGGGAAGCTGAAATAAATCACTCTCTACTATTATTCTGACGTTTCACATTCTTAAAATAAAGTGGTGATCCTAACTGACCTAAGACAGGGAATTTTTACTAGGATTGAACTAGGATGTCATGAATTTTGAAAAACTGAGTTTAAATGTATTTGGCTAAGGTGTATGTAAACTTCCAACTTCAACTGTATATGGAATTTAATTCCTGTTGAAAAACAAATGATAGTCTCACTATGCCCAAACCAGATGGGAAGGCGTATCGCTGCAGAATGCTGTGGTAGCCATGCTGGTTAAGTGTGCCTTGAATTCTAAATAAATCACAGACAGTGTCACCAGCAAAGCACCCCCACACCATAACACCTCCTCCTCCAAGCTTTACGGTGGGAACTACACATGCAGAGATCATCTGTTCACCCACACTGCGTCTCACAAAGACACAGCGGTTGGAACCAAAAATCTCCAATTTGGACTAAAGTACACATTTCCACCGGTCTAATGTCCATTGCTCATGTTTCTTGGCCCAAGCAGGTCTCTTCTTCTTATTGGTGTCCTTTAGTAGTGGTTTCTTTGCAGCAATTTGACCATGAAGGCCTGATTCACACAGTCCCCTCTGAACAGTTGATGTTGAGATGTGTCTGTGACTTGAACTCTGTGAAGCATTTATTTGGGCTTAAATTTCTGAGGCTGGTAACTCCAATGAACTTATCCTCTGCAGCATAGGTAACTCTGGGTCTTCCATTCCTGTGGCGGTCCTCATGAGAGCCAGTTTCATCATAGCGCTTGATGGTTTTTGCGACTGCACTTCAAGAAAGTTTCAAAGTTCTTGAAATGTTCCGTATTGACTGACCTTCATGTCTTAAACTAATGATGGACTGTCATTTCTCTTTGCTTATTTGAGCTGTCCTTGCCATAATATGGACTTGGTCTTTTACCAAATAGGTACAACACAACTGATTGGCTCAAACGCATTAAGAAGGAAAGAAAATCCACAAATTAACTTTTAAGAAGTCACACCTGTTAATTGAAATGCATTCCAGGTGACTACCTCATGAAACTGGTTGAGAGAATGCAAAGTGTGTGCAAAGCTGTCATCAAGGCAAAGGGTGGCTATTTGAAGAATCTTGAACATAAAATACTACATGATTCTACAATGTAAAAAATAGTAAAAATAAAGAAAAACCCTTGAATGAGTAGGTGTCCAAACTTTTGACTGGTAGTGTATGTACAGCAGCTAAACTTCAGTTGCTCTCTTGTCATTGAGAGGAAGGTATACAGACACTAATGAGAATCTCGTAAAACAAATCTGGAGGGATGCTTTCTGCTTGTCTACTGCACCGCACAAACACCAACCCCATTCAACACTACATTTTCTACCAGCTGTGAATGGGAAAGGCTCTGCTGTCGGTAGAAATGAAGTCCCTGGGGGCTAGCTCACCTGTTTCTCTGTTATTCTGGAAGACTGAAGTGTAAAACATTCTCCACTGTTACTGCCTTTTCTTCCCTCATAATGTGGCATTTATATTTTGAGACTCATTTGGTGGCAGCCCTGCGCTGCCTGGTACTGCTACCGTATCTGAATACAATGACACACAGCTAATGTATTGTTACATCTCTGATACCTTTATCTGTCAATAACGTTGAATATCAGCATGATTATGCATGATGAATTTAGCAGAAAAATCTATCTGCTCATAGAACAAATCCACTAGTATTAGCTGATCAGACAGAGCTATGCAGTACTCCTGTGTCCTCTTTCTCTTACCCGCCCTCGAAGATTTGGACACGGAGAGGATCACTCTGTTTGGAGGTGGAGGGCCCTTGCTCCTCTCTCTTCCCCTTCTTCTCCTCCTTCTCAGGCTGCTGTGTTGGCTCCTTCACTTCGACAGGGGTGCTGGGTGGGGTAGCATGTACCTACACTCAAAGACAGACACAGGCAAATTCACCAACGCACCCTGACATCTTGGTTGGCAATGATGATACACAGTACATTGGAACAACAATTAATGTCAAACATTTAATGTATTGGTTGTAGTGTATCATCTAACATCATATTGTCTGGTCATTTCCAGCTGTGAAATTGTGGGGTATGCATTATTCTATATAATTCATAACTAAAACTAAATCAGTGATTTTGGCAGTTTTGGTCTAATTGGCCCATGCTGTGTTTTCCTAGATATTGAATATTGCTGTTATATTTACCTCTGAAATGTGGGGCTTTCTGCTGCTGGCAAGGACCACCTTGCCCGTGGCAGGGGTTAGAGCTGTGGCCATGGTGTAGGTCTCTGAGCTGTGCTTCTGCTTGGAGCGCAGCAGGGACAGTGCCAGCTTGGTGGACAGGCCTGGCAGGTTGGGGTTGTGCACGCTGACACTCCAGGAGGTGTAAACGGAGGTTTGTGGCTCCCTCTGGGCAGACGGGTTGGGCTTCACGTAGTTCAAGTAGCACCAGCTGACTGAGGTGGTGGTGTGGAGGCTGGGGTACGATGGGGCTTTGGCTCGCTCTGGACTCTGGGGTACGAAGGAAGCACTCACTCCCTGGCCCTCGTCGTCCTCCCTCCCCTTTTCTTTCTTAGGTTCAGCCTTCCCTTGCACCTCCCGCTCTACCCTGTGGTCCTCTGGGTCCCGTACCTCCTCTTCCTCCTCGACTTTCACAGTTCCTACTCCTATCTGTGCCCTTTCCGGCTCTTTCTCTTCGTCCTCCCCTGCTTCCAGTTTTCTCCTAGTACCCCTATTTTCCTCTTCCTCTTCCACCTTCTCTTCCTCCTCTTCCTCCTTCACTCGTTTCTGCTGGCGCTGGGCCTCTGTGCTGAGCTCCAGACTGGCTGCAGGGGAGAGCATGCGTTTGCTCCCTCCAGCCCCCAGTGGCCCGTAGCCCTCCTCGGACGCAAAGCCCAGCTCCAGGGGCAGGGGTAGAGACAGGGGCAGGTAGCTTTTGAAGTCCGGGGTGGGGATCTTCAGGTAGGACCTCTGCAGCTTGTCCTGCTCCAGCTGGCCCATGATAACCATGGCCATGCAGCAGATGGGCTCCTGCGAGCGGTCTGACGCCGGGATCTGGGAGAGGGTGGTGTACAGGGCACTGGCGTAGGTGGGCATGTGGGTCTGGAGGCGTACTGGTACCACCAGTGACACGATTGGCGTCAGCTGCGCCAGGCACGTTGCGATGACAGGCGGGGGATGGTGGCAGGGTACGGGGACTAAGGACTGAGGATATGGGGCAGGGAGAACCACGGTGGAGGGTATGGGGGGCTGTGTGGGGACTTGGATGGTGAGCCCAGGTGGCACGGGGAGGTACACAGCCTGGCCAGCCCCGGTGGGGTACTGCAGGGAGAGCAGAGCTGAGAAAGGATGGAGGGGCAGGCCTAGTCGTTCTGCCATGTGAAGCTGCCCTGGGTGGACTTGTATGGTTGGAGGGGAAGGGTGTGTGTGTAAGAAGGCTCTGTGGATGATGTGGGTGGAGAGGACATCTGAGATGGCAGTGGTGACCGGGTGGAGCTGGGCTATCTGGCCAAGAGGGATCCGATCATGCCCAGTTGGTCGCATGGGGAATGGGAGTATCCGGGGCTGGTGGAACAGCTGTACGGTCTTCCCTATGGCGTCCGGGCTGAGCCTGGAGGTGCTGGCTTCAGCTGGGTGGAGGGCAGGGTGGCTGGTGTAGGACGGGCCTGGCTTGGGGCTCCCTGGTCGGCCTGACTGGCTGGCCATGGCCCCTTCCTCGTGGTCTGGCTCGCCCAGGGTGGCGTGCTTCACCAGTAGGCACTTCCTCCTCTCCCTCCAGGCCGACGCAGACTGCTGTGGGGATAGGGACCCGTAGTCAAAGGATTTGCTCCTGGTCTCCACGATCTCGGCAGTGTGCTGGGGGCTGGCCGGGGCCTGCTCCGAGGCTGAGCGCCGCATCTCTCTTTGGGGTTGGTGGTGTTGGTGGGGGCCCGAGGGCACGGTTAGCATGTGTGAGCCCTGGGTGCTGCCGGAGCCCCAGGGGGAAGGCTCAGCAGGTTTGCCCTCCATGTCTTCAAAGGAGGCAGAGCGGCTGGGGGAGTGAGAAATGTTGGTCTCCTGGCTGGGGCTCCGGGGCCCCAGCGATACAGACTCAAAGCTAGACTCTCCGGAAGAATGGGCAGCAGACTCGGCTAGACGGAGACGCTTCTTCTTTGGTGGCAGCTTCTCGGCGGGGAGCTGAGCCATACTCTGGCTGCGCTGAGGCCACTGGAACTCCTCTACCACTCTCTCTGGCTCCTTAGACGAGGACGCCGTCGCCGTGGGCGACACTGACACCATATCAGCGTCAGGCTCCACCGTCACTAGGATCTCTGGCACTTGGATGTTGTGCTGGCGGACCAGGCGGGACATGGAGGGCAATGATTTTGGCTGCGGCTGTTTTACCAGTGTTGACTGGCTCTCTCTGAGCTCTATAGACTCCTGGCTCTCCATGGATTTACTTTCCTGCTTCTCGAAGGAGCTGGTGTGCTGGATGACCGAGATGCCCTTCCTGTCTTGCTGCTGCTCGGCCTGTGAGGGAGCACCTGAGAAGGCCCCACTCTGCTCCACCAGGCTTGGCACTGCAGTGGTGGCTGCGGGGCTGCAGGTCACAACAGCTGTAGGCCCGGGGCTGGAAGGATCCTCCTCCAGACTCTCCTCTTTCCTCCTCTTCCTCACTGTCATGGCCAGTGCCCGGAATTTATAGTGCATCATCTGGGGGCGGTCATCCCGGCACGCCCCATCCACCTCTCCTCTCTCCAGCTCCTTTATTGGCTGGCCTGTGCAGAGACCCCTGTGGGCCTCGTAACTCTCCCTTTGTTTACAGCAGGCTCCGCAGGCCTCGCACTCATAGAGCCTTGGACCTTTGCGTTGCTGCTGTTGCTGCTTCCTGGTTAGGCCACTTTCTGTAGCTGCGGAGGAGAGGAGGGGCCAGCCTCCAGGATGAGCTCAGCCCCGAGGGGCACCTCAATGGCGGGCTGGCGCCTCAGCAAACGGTGCTGCCCGCCCAACCTCATCTCGGCCACCACGGCCTGCTGCTCATCAAAGGAGTGGCTCAGACGACAGAAGCCCCGGGGAGAGGTGTTGGAGCGGTTTCCCTGGCCCGCTGACGTGGGCATGGATTGGCTTCTCAACAGAGGCACTGAGGAGGAGGACTCCTGGACCCCAGAGGGGTCCACTTCTTGGACATGGAGACGGAGTGATTGGCCTGCCATACCACTGAGGCCGGGGCTTTCTCCCTTAGGCTCAAACACATAGGGGTCTTTGGGGGAGGAGAACTTGGGTGACTCCAGACTACTCTTCCTGGAGAGCGAGGAGCGCCTGGGCTTGACGCTATCGATCTCGCTGGTGTCCACCACCGCCTCGTTGATGGTGATGAGTTTGGTGATGTGCTCAATGACCTGTGTCTTGGGAACGCTGAAGGGCATGCTGCTCTTCTCCTCCATCCCTGATGATGAAGAGTGGGCATGCTGCTGATGGGGACCGCGCTGCTGCCCTCTCAGCCGCCCATACTTGCCCAGGATGATCTCGGCATAGGTTTTGGCGTTGGCGGTGGGAGGGCTCACCTGGGAGTCAGCTCGGCTCATCTCAGCACTCCTCGAAAGGGAGAAGTAGCCTGACTCTTGGCTGCCTTTACTGCTGAGGCCCAGGGAGGAAGAGGGAGGGTCATCCTGGGAGGCCATGGGGCCACGCTTCCTCTCGCTCAGCCTCATGGCCAGTCTCTGCTTCACGGCCTGGGAGTCGTCAGACCTCTGGCCCTCCTCTTGCCCTGACAGCGCCAAACTGCTGCTGTTCTTCTGCTTGCCCAGCCTCTCCTTCCTGTACTGACCCGTCTCCTCCTCAGAGTCTGTGCTCTCCCCCTCTGTAGGCTCCTCGTGATCCTCTCCCGGGGCGCTCATCTCGGGTCCGCTCAGGCTCAGCTCGTCCCGGCTGGACACCAGGCCAGCCTTGATGCGGTGGGCGTGGGACTTGCGGTGCTTGTAAAGGTTACTCTTGGTCTTGAAGGAGAAGCCACAGGGGGCGCAGGGGTAAGGCCTCTCCCCTGTGTGGGAGCGGATGTGTTTCTGGAGAACGCTGGGTTTGGCACATGGACGGCCACAGTAAGTGCACACGTACTTCCCCGGTTTCTGGGACTTCCTCTCGCCTCTTTTAGGGCTGCCCTCTGTGACCTCCTGGTTGGGCTGGGACTGGACCCCCTGCGTGTTGTGGCCTTGGGTAGAGGAGGACGGTAGGGATGAAGTGGAGGGGGAGGAGAAGCTGTCTCCTGAAGGACCTGGGGTGTCTGTTGAGAGCTGCCATGCTGCTGCTTGGGTCTTGTGCTGATGCTGGAGCCTGAGGAGCAGGTCGCTACGTTTGGGCTTGCGGTGATGGAGGCGGCCCAGGCCACCATGGACGGGGCGGGGGTTGGATGGTGGCTGCTGTGGCTGAGGTGGACGGGACCCAGTGGGGGGCTCAGCGGCTCCAGCAGACAGAGGCTGCTGTTGCCTTCCGGATCGCTCCCCATCAGCAGAATGGCTGGGCTCCGCTTCCATAGAGTGGGGAGGAGGCCTTATGGACACACAGGGAATGCCTCTGGGAGCAGTGCACCACACAGCCTCATGGGGCTAACCACAGTGCCGCAGAGATGCCTGGGACGAGAGAACATCTAGAGGGGGAGGCAGGGGCATCAGTTCAGGATTAATAAATCACAACGGAGTACCTTTTTTATGAGCGGGCCAAAAGTCATTCAAGAGGACCAAATAAGACATAATTAAAAAGTGCCCCAGAGCAGCATAGAGGATGTAGGTAAACATAGATCCTCCCTCATCACGGAATAAGTCTGTTCCCATCCGGCCTGAGCCATTGTGACAGGTCTTCACTGTGGACTGGGAGCTAGATGAGGATTTGGCTTGGCATCCTGCTGGACCATTCTGACACTGTGGCTCTGCTGAGTAGAAACCTCTGGGTCTTCTCTTGTTCCTCTTAGGCCGTCACTGGTCAATCCTAGCACCTCATTGGATCTGCAGAAACACAGAAATAAGCAGAAGTGAGTCACAGAGCTTAGGCAGACCTGACAAAATACACTTAGGCATTTGTTTCATCATTATTGGTTGTGACTCGTGACACTATCAATGACTAGGTGGCCAGTCCCACAAAAACAGACTGTCATGGGATTTAGGCCTAGTCAAAGCCCTGTGACCAAACACTGACTCTCACGTTGACATTGCTGCCACATATCATACCCTGACAAATAAGGCCACATTTCCTTGGCCTGATGAGTGGGGGAAGTGTTCTAATGATCACATTAGCGAGGTAATTTCGGTAACACCGTGTTATTGCTCCGATCTATTCTTGCCCAACCTGTATGCTGAAGGGTCTCTGCCACATACAGAAAATGTATATTTCAGTGTACTTCTACCCTGTAATGTTGGTTCTGTACGTGGATATGTGCTCTAATGGTCTCAATGCACTAATGTGCAATATCCAACATAAAACCTCCTAGTTCCAAAAAGAGCTCAGACACAGTGAGAGAGGAAAACTCTACCACAACACTGTGTATTGATCGCTGACTCCAAACCATCTGGCTAGAGCACAGTCTGCACAAGACACCACAATCTGAGAAGGCCAAGCCAGGTCAACATCCAGGGCAGCAGCGCCAACAGAGAGGGTAAAATTGTGACGAAATGTCATGGCACCAAGTCAAAACAAACGTTTGAAATTTAGCCTGAGCTTATTCAATCTTGTTCTCAAGCTGGGGGAAGGGGGGCTATCTTCTTGTAATGAGTAAAGATGAGTTGACAGCAAGTAGCCTTCAGCCCCTGTGTTGTACTGACACTAGGGTGCAGCATGGCAGATATGAGACGCCAGGTGAAGTAGTTGAAGATAGAAAAAAGACTGCAGGAAGATGAGGAAGTGTAAATCCCCTCTTTTATCAAGACATATCTGCTGTTATATTTCCCACTTTAGGAGAAACCCAGGTCTCAACTCCACACACAGAATTATTGTACCGCAGCCAATCAAAACACATTCTGGGAGCAGCCAGAGTCAATCAAAAAATGTCACTGAGCTGTCGTAGCCAACTGCTGACAGTCCGAGCTGAGGCCCATCCACTGACATCCATCATAATTTATTTTTATAGTCATTTAGCCGACGCTCTTATCCAGAGCGACTTACAGTTAGTGAGTGCATACATTTTTTCATACTGGTCCCCCGTGGGAATCAAACCCACAACCCTGGCGTTGCAAGTGCCATGCTCTACCAACTGAGCTACATGGGACTACGTGACTATCATCAGAGCAGAGCCATCCACACACACTTCTCAGGATAGCTTACTCTGTCTGCTCATGTGCAGAGTGATATTTGGCATTTTAAACTGTGTGTGTTCTCCTCCCTGCTGCAGCAGCTCTGTATAAAGCTATCCATCTCAATAACTCTGGTGCTCATAACAGGCCACACTATTAGGTAAATCAGGTGCATACGTATAACCATCAATAATAGCCTGATACAATCCCGAGTGGCGCAGCAGTCTAAGGCACTGCATCTCAATGCTAGAGGCGTCACTACAGACCCTGGTTCGATTCCAGGCTGTATCACAATCCGCACAATTGGCCCAGTGTCGTCCGGGTTTGGCCAGGGTAGGCCGTAATTGTAAATAAGAATTTGTTCTTAACTGACTTGCCTAGTTAAATAAAGGTTAAATAAATAAATATATAGTGTATATATATAATACTTCAACTTTTCAATATGTTTTACTTTAAATCAAATCGGGAGTAAATCATCATTTAGTCAGTGAATAATTAATCATATTTCAGAATACCACTTTTCAGGGAGGGAATAGATGTAGGCGTTATAAGCTAGTGCATTTAACACAGTGTGTAAGACAGTGTCTCCCTCCCACCGTCCCTGGGTAAGGCAAAAGCAGTAGCAGAGGTAGAGGCTGACAAGTTGACAGGGTAAGTGAGTGTGAGAGCGAGAGAGAGATAACTCTCTGAGAGGCTGTGTGGAGTCATTCAGTGTTCCAGCAGCTGGCTAAACATGCCTAGCAGAAGACTAGTCTGGCTGACTCCAGCTGGGGCAGTGGTGACAGGTTTTTTAATGAGCCCCGGTTTCTCTCTTTCTCCATATGTTCCTGAAAAACACAGCACAGTCTGGCTTCATTACAGTGGAAAATAAAACAGAGAATCACTCTTCCTTTTTGGAAGTGAATTGACAGATTCTCGGCTCCATTTCCACGTTCCCCCACATCTGCTGAAGGATGATCATCCATTTAGTCCGTTTCTCTGAACAGAAGTTAACTTTGATTACAACAGAGTACCATCAACAGTAGCAATTTCTGAGAATAACGACTGAAGCGACGGCATTAAAACTAACTAAAACGCCTCACAGTAAGAGAAGATGTGAGTGTGGGCCTTATCTGTTCTGAGCTGTCCAGATACATTGTGGTGTTAGCCTTGGGAATTAGCTAGAATAGTTAGAAAAGGGATTGGTTTTATACTGTAGCTAGGTCATGTATCAATGTGGTCTCTTCACACACAATTCACAAGAAAGAAAAGTGAGTGTGAGAATACTACAGGAGTGTGAGACTGAGAAATAAAAAAGGCATGAGTGGGAGAGACAGGAAAAGACAGGTAAAGAGTGGGAAGATGAATGGGGATAAAAAAAGACGCCACTATGAAGCCAGAGTGCATAGGAGGGCGATACATATTGTATATAGAAATATACCGGTGAGAGGAAGAGCGAAGATAAAGAGAGGGGAGGGAGAGAGAGAGAGAGAGAGAGAGAGAGAGAGAGAGAGAGAGAGAGAGAGAGTGTTGTTTGAACTGAGCACACGTTGGCCATCACAGTGTAAGGGTTAATGATCTCTGGCATAGTATTGATGCAGCCTTTAAACAGGGTGATTAGGTGGTTTTAGGGTGAGGGACAGCAACGTCTGAATTATGCAGGGCAGTGCAGTCTAGACTCTAGCTCAGAACAAGGAAACACGCATTAGGGCTTTGCCAGGAAGACAAGGGGAAAGCCTGCCAGAGTGAGCAAGCACATAATCATCACTCACACAATCGCACACATTTAAACAAGCATGCATACAGTACGTATGTGCACACACACATACAGACACATGCACATGTGTACACACACACAGACATGCACACTAAAGCACGTGTACACACACACACATTATCTACTAATGTATAGTGGTGGAGAGTCGACTCCAAAATAGTTGATTCCTCAACTCCTTGACCACAAGAGTCGGAGTTGGATACAAAAAACATTGCCTAGGCAGCTAGGCTGACTTAGGCTACCGATTAGCTTTGAATATTTTGGTCAGTAGATTGTCAGACAGCTCCATATGCATTGCTAATCAATCACCCAGTTCATTGAGAACAACTGACCATTTTTGCTAATTTTGGTCAGTTTGGTCAAATTGGAGTCGGCGTTGAGAGAGAGACTCGACTCCAACGACTCCGATAGCAGGAGTCGGAGTCGACTCCAAAAATCCATGACAAAATTGGAAAGTGAAAGAGAGAGAGCATGGGTCCTTTCCCACTAGCAGGAGGGGGCCAAGGGAGACTAGGCAGCCCAGGTAGAGTGCTCTGACTGGGGAGAGAGCCAAGGCAGATAGGGGCACTAACAGGTTCAGTTGCCATGGTAAATAGAATGTATGATGTCACAACGCAACATCATGACTTCACATACATCACAAGAGAAGGAAGCTTGGATTGCCATAGATACCAGCAATAACGTTCTACAATTCCAAATAATTCTAAACACAGATTCCCCTCTACCTTAGCATACTCTCACCTTCTGAGATAGCAAGCTTTTAAATCCTTTGGTTGACTCTTGAAATACACAGCATTTATCTTTAAAAATGTCAGCGCACAACTTGGAGTATGACCCTGACTCTGAGTCTGACTGTGAGTCCGGCTATGAATCTGGTGACTTTTACTTTGACTCAGAAGATGAGTCCGGTGATGAGGCATTTGATGGTGCATAAACTCAACAACTATAATGCCAATGGCTACCAGTCAGAAGACAGGCACACCCTTGGAGAGGCAATGGATCACCTGGAAACTCATCTCAACTGGCTCAAATATTGTCACGACTACAAATATATGGTTGGTTAGAGCTTGGAACTCCAGAGTTGGTTCCTTCTGTTACACGAGAGATGAATCAAACACCTAAGCCTATACAGATTGTCATCATATTAATAAATGTATTAATAATATTCATTTCATTTGGCTACATTGTCATTATTGTATTCCTTTCACAATTATTTGAGATTGGATAAGGGATCGGAAACTATACTGTTTAGAAATAATAGGCTAATTCATAATGGTTATACTACTCATGGAGTAATCACCTTGGGTAGGGGAAATATGACAGAGACTGTCATGTTCAGTTATTGAAAACGCACGCACGCACCAACTCTCTCACACATGTTACACTGCCCAGAACACCCTCCTCTGTAGCCTGTCGGTCTCAAATCCATTCTGACAGTCAGATCATGTAAGCAAACCAGACCCTAAAAGAGATCCTGCCATTCCCCAGTGGCTCTGGTTCCTCTCAACATTTCCTCCTGTTGTTTCACAAAGGCTTTTCCTTCCCACTGACCCCCTTAGCTTACATT